CTTTAGGAGATACTTTATTGAGCTTGACTCACCCTTTATAGAAAAATATTTGAGGTGCAGGGTTCACATTGGCGAACGACTCCTAATTCGAGTTTCAAGGGTGAAGAAGGCTGACTTGTGGCTTTTATGACTCATTTTGTATAACTATTGTGAAAATCCCATTTTGACACGTAAATATAAAAGAATTGTAATCGAACTCATATGGACTGTTTTAAATGTAAAAAAATTGCATGTGGTTATATGAGTACGGATAAATGGACCCGGTGTGATCAATGTAGTATAATTACAGAAGTTGTGTTTTGGGTAGAGCTCCCCGTACAAAGAAGACTCTACTCGAATTTTGTTAAATCAAGGACTCCCGATTTTTGGGGCGTCACATTAAGTGGCGACGGTGTCCTCCTAATTAGTGGTTTGTTTTTTGAGGTTGTTATTTTCATAGGTTTTACATTTGTTTTGGCAATTAGCATTTTTTTGTCTTCATTTATTTTTTGTAGGCTGTCTCGGATTCACACTCACACGGTTATGACATTTTCAATGTCACACCTCCGTCAAATTCATCAGTAAGATTATGGTTTTAGTGTTTTGTAGGTTGTCTCATGCAGTTTTGTCTAAAACTTGAAATGTTGCTTTCACTGATGATTGGGTCTTGGAACAAATATGGCTTCATTTTTTTACTTTTTCTCTCATTTGTTTCTCCATTTTACAATACATTTTCATGTAATCAATCTTTCAATGGCTAATATTTTTTTTCCATGGTCATATGCAGAGGATCCGACAAACTTAATTGCTCCAATGATTGGAGGCCAAGCACACGGTGGCCATTCTTTTTTTTTTTTCTTGGGTGGTGCTATGTTTTGCTTGCTATCAAGTGACACCTACCCTTAAAATTGGTAAATTTATATTTAACTTTGGTTAGAACCTTCCTTTACAACACAACATTCATGAATCAGTTAGACTTTAAAATTACTGAAATGAAATTACAACTAATGGTATTAATCACTCTCAATCCATTGAATTGTTGTTTCTTTATTCGACGACTTAGGTTTGCTGCAATAAGAAATATATGCAGGATAATGGAAGGTGAATGGTTTTGATCCCATGTTTTACTTTTTATTTAGTAATTTATCATGGATGTGAATGGATGGTTTGTATTGAAAATAGGAATTCTAGGGTGGTGCTCTCTTTATCTCTCTGTTTGTCTGTCTCTCTCTTTGTATGTCTGTATGCATCTGACGTATAGGTATGGTGTGGTTTAATTAGTTGATATAACATAGTATTAGTACACAGAGTTTCATGAAATTTTTAGGGTTACTTACATATATTTCTTTAGTAAATGTGTTGTATAGTGATACGCATTGTTTAAGAGGACTTTTACTGAACACTTGGTGAGCAGGATACAAATTTTCATATAATAACCTCATTTAGTGCAACAAGAATGTTTTTGTTGCTTCATAATATATGGTGGTCGTGTTTTAAATTGTAGTCATGGGTGAGCAAGGAGGCTCGAAATTGTTGTACTCAACTTCGACATTTGATGGTGACAATGGTGATGATGTGAAAATTAATGAAGGTGACGAGTTTGATGATGATTTTCTACCCGATAAGCCAGAGTCACAAGTCCAGTGTGTGGATCCTAGAAGGGGTTGGGGTTTTCGTGGTGTGCATAAGGTACTTGACATTAGTTTAATAATGAAGATATATAAATTTTTGGTTTGCCTAAATGTAATTTAGCACTTGAATAGCTCTATTTTGTTTGACAAAACATTGAAGGTGATATAGAAAAATAATTAGCCGATTGTCAGAAATTGGAGCCATTATAACAAATGTGTTTGTCGGATCATTTTTGCATTTCATTGGACGATGTATCTTTGATATTTTCCCCTAAATTTTTACCATGGATCCTTTTGTCATGCATTCTCGCCTGTGAAGTGGTGGGGAATGTGTGTTGGCAAACTTGTAGTGCAATATAGCTTCCACTGGAACCCGAATATGCACGTACACTCCACTTGGTTGCATAGAAAATAAATCAAAACTTGGTGAACTGTAGAATTTTCAATGACACGGGGACTGGAGAAACTTCAACTTCAAGTGTGGCCAGTACCACTATATGGCAACCAAAACTACATCAATATCAACGTTGAGAAATTAAATAAGGTGCAGATTTTTTTGGAGTGATTTATTTTTGGGGAGGTTTGTTTCTCAGTCTCTTTGTGTGCATTTGTGTTTTGGGCTATGCAATCCATTTTTTGAATTAAAAAATTAGCATTAGTAACTCAAGTAGTGTAGTTGCCACTGGTTTCATCAATCTAAACTCAATTTTCATTGGCCCTCTCTCCCAATAATTTGAACACATGAGTTTGTGATGTGGGTTTTGAAAAAGATAATTTACTTTGCATTGGAGTCGTTACTTTGACCGAGTTTAATATAAGTGTTGGATATGGATTATATTTGAATTTCTTTATGTGTTAGACTTCTGCAGATTCGACACTTCATGTTTTTTAGTTCATGCTCTGCTTCTCTCTTGTCGAGTACATTTTAATGCGTACAAAAAGGCACTTATTTTGTAGTTTGGATTGATTGCAAGGATTGTGACTTTGTTAGTTAGTTGTGACGTTACTTCAAACAGTGAAATTGTTTGTTGTCTATCTTTCGATTATGAATAATTAGGCGAAGTCTTCATTATTATTTTTCTTTGTTTTCATCTCTTTGAAGGACATATATATGTTACTTTGATAGTTGTCTTAAGAGTTTTGACATCACACTCAAACATTTTCAACCAATCTGTTAATTTTTCCAAGCTTTCATACAACTATACCTTACTGAGAAAAAATTGCCAATGAGTGCCATCTAGGAAATTGTGGACTTTAGGATTTTTTTTTCCTTGCATTAGTGTCCTTCTCCCTCCCAATGGATTAGTTACCATGACAAATATTGTTTATTCGGAGGTGTTGTTGGACTTAGTGTAAATATTACTACTTTTTAAAATGTATTGCAGATTACATCATGTGTCGTTCATGACTATTCTTATAGTTTTAATAGTTTCTTCCACACATGTATGACTATAAATTTTCAATGAATATATGTCTGTCTCATTAGTATAACGCTTAACAAACTTCATTGTTTTTAGAATTTGTGGGCATTTGTCTTCGATCCGTGGAATGAGTGTATACTATTTATTGGGATACTAATAAGGTACTTTAATGATATGTTATTCGTTTAAACATTATCCATATGCTAATACCTGTTCTTATACCTGTGTGTTTAACATTATATTGATTGTTGTTTAAGTCGACACGTGGGTGCTTGAAGTTGATACACACTTTCTTATGCATTATGCACCGATTGTTTCCACAGGCCTGCCGTGTTCATGCCCCACATCAACTCTGATTATCACGTAGTTGTCTACTCTACAACTGATCAGGAAAAATGTGTTATTTTGGATGTATAATTTGAGTAAACATATGATATAATGGATATATTATGTGTAGTTCAAATACGCTTGTGAATTATTCTTAAAATTGCATCGTGCACTCAGATGTACATAAAATTGCTATGCCTTTGTAATATATTGTGTATATTCAAGGTAGATACCAACTCAATTTCAAACTGTGATGTGAAATTGCAGTTGAGTCGTGCTCTTGGGCATGTGTTGTTGTGTATTGATTGCTTGATTTTGTTGAAAATTTTCAAAAATGGCGGGTTATTATTAGATTGATTTAACTTTCTTTAACTAAATGATATAAATAATAACCTATATCAATTTAACAAGATTTTTATGGATTTTTGTTTATTCTGTGTTTAGTATGGTGAACTAATTTTACGTTTAAGGAGATATGTTTGACTTGATGTGAAATTTCTTGTTGTTTTTGTGGGATTGTTTCATTCATTTTTCAGTACTGTATGCAAGTTCATATTTACATAATCTCCTATTTTCAAAGAAAATTATGTCGAAATATTGAAAAAATTGGGTTATTATTAGATTGATTGATTTATGTGACCCAAACAAAAAATTTACTACATTGGTTTTATTTCCTTTAATTAAATGAAATAAAAAATAACCTACATCGAATTAACTGAATTTCAGTGTATTGCAAAGTGTCTTCAGGCATTGGTTGTCTCCCTTAGTTTTATCTTTGCGTGTCTGTTGTGTGATATGAGTTTAGTAAAGTAAACCAAACACGTTGTGTGATTGGTTTATTTTGATTGGAATTGATTGTTGTTTTAGTAGTTGGGTTCAGAATGGTGATTTTTGGAGCATTTTGATTATGAACTCTGATTATTGTTATGTATGATTGTGAACAACGAATTTTAAGTTTGATTGTATTGTGGATTCAAGAGACTTTGAGTTTTGTGGACATGTTGCAAATGTCTTGGGCTCCTATTGTTATAGCAATCTCTACCAAAATAGTCTCCAAAAAAATGTCATCCTATTTATATTGATTTCAATTTCTTTAATTATAGCAAATAAAAATAATTTTTTTTTTCAAATTAATTGGTTGGTTTACGTTGTATCTTGCCTTTAAGTACGGGTTACCCATACACACACACACACACTAGGGGTAAAGTATGGTAAAAATATGAAAATTTGATGGACATTCCACATTCTTGATTTTTTCGGTTAACCGATAAATAGGGTCGGATAGAAGGGTAGGATAGAAAATTACGAGTAATAAAAAATTTGAATACCCCTACAAATAGTTATTCAACATGACTTTTAACTGGAATCAAAATTTACCTCAAGTCGATACGAATCGACAGTTGATACCATTATAAAAAAAAAGATACAGTTGCACTTCAATTATGTTAAATTACAACTTGTTTGAGTCTAAATTATGACTCAATCGGTGCCAATATATATAGGTTACTATTGATTCAAAATGTTACAACTATTAAGTCAAAATCCGAATCGTAATTTGACCCAATTATATCTTAACATACAACATGGAAACAGAAGTTGTGTTTGATTCGGTGGTCTTTCCCTAAGCATGGAGGTATTTTTTTTTTTTTTGGTGGGTCCTAAATATGGTGGTTGCTAGAAAAAGGATCGGGGTAATTTAATTACACCCGATGGATTTTTATATTCTCCTGGCTCACCTTTCCCATGGACAGAAAGAAGGCTTTCGGTGTAGATAAGTAGGTGAAGGCAACAAGAATGAGTGCGATGGCCTAAGATTTGGAGATCCTTAAGAACACGTTGGGTATTAGGATTATACAAGAGCAGGTGGCCAGGTGTGGTTTCAACAAAGACCTCATCATTCTTCCACACCCCAACTGGTTTCATCATTCCATGAAGCGGACCGATATTTAATTGCTTGATCCAATATCCCATTCCCTCCTCCTCCATCAATACCCACAGGGCAACCGATGACTGCTCAGCTGATTCCCAGGAATCTAATGGCACTTGTGAATGGGAATAAATCAGAGCTATAGAGCCACTGTACAACGCAAGAATCTCGTAGGCTGAGTCTTGGTGAATAAGTGGTGGCCCTTCAATCTCTCTGAACTCCTCTTTCCCCATGTCAAACAAAACCAGCTTTCCATGTGTAGACCACCAGTAATAAACACCATTCAAGTAGGAGTCATAGCAAGATTCTATCAAAGAATTCAGGCAATAGGTATCAGGAGCATCACCCTTGAAATCTTTCCATGAATCCGTGCTTAAAGTGTACACAGCAACATGTATGGGATCCATCCATGGGCCCCATTTAGCGGGCTCCCCATCATCAAACCTCCGAATCCAAACTACCTTGTAATCATCACTTGTGGGATCTAACCCGAATCCAAAGCCGCAGTGACAAGGGATCCAGTCACGAGGAAACAATTTTGTGCGGCACAATGGCAGAGCCCTGAATGCTCTAGTTGCGGGATTCCACAGACCAATGCGCTCACGTTTGTCACACAAGCAAAAAATTCCATTAATAGGACCACCAACCAGATTATATGCGGAAAAGGATAGGTCCATATTGTGGTAGGTGGGTACTGTAAGCATTTTGTCCGGGAACAAGACGATGTCCCACAAGTCCCTATTGTCATCATAATAGTGTACCACCAGATGGGCATTGTCCTTGTTGTTATTGTGTTGTAAATGAATGGAAATGAAAGCAGGACTATCTATTAGATTTTTCCAAAATTTGCAGACACACCTGAATTGCAAGAGCGATTTCACAGACATTCTTGACAGTATCTCAATCAGCACATCTTCTGCCAAATAGCCACCTTTGCTTTCCATTTGGCCCATTTGATTGTATGAGAAAGATGGGTCTTCTTCTTCTTCTTCTTAGTGAGAAAGAGGCCTCTGGAATTCACAAAGGAGAGAGAAAGGGTTTTTTTTATTTCTTTTTTGTGAATGAAGAAAGGGCAGTTGTAAGAGTCTATTTATTTCTTTTTTTGTGGTGGGGTGGGGGTTTGAGGGATAGAATGAAGAAAGGGCAGTTGTAACTTGTAAGAGTCTTTACACGTCTTGAACAGCTGTGTTCATTCCTTTTTTTTTCCTCCTAAGCAAATGTACAAGTGCAACGAATTAATGCATTCACACCGACTAAGGAAATACACAATTGCAACGAATTAATGCATTCACACTCCACACATTTATATCATTTCTTAACCTTTAAGTTTAAAATAATGCTAGACTGACCAAAATTTGGGATCAAAATTTGGGATTAAATTTAGAGCTCAAATGACATAACAATTGACTTGGGCTTCTTTGATTGGTGTCATGTCATTTGGGTCCCAATAAAAATTTCAAATAATCAACTGCCATGTCATTTGGACTCTAAATTTGATCCCAAATTTTGGTCAGTATAACATTACTCTTAAGTTAAAAGCAAAGGTAGAATTAAAACAATTTAATGCATTCACTTGCATTAACAAATTTACAATCCTACAACATTCACACTATGGAAAAAGGCAAGATTGTCTCTTATTAAATCAATAAGGTAATATGGACGTAACGTATAATTATTTTAGAAATGACATCAACAATTCTATAGTTGTGTTTTGTATTTGAGACACGCCGTGGCCAGCAAAAATATCAACATCATTGAAGTGTATAATTAATTGGGTGAAATAAGGCGCGTATGATATGGTGATTTTTCACGTGGGATCGAATCTTTTCTAATACTTTTTCTCTCTAGGTTCCTCTTTCAAAGATTACCCACTCATATAGGAGTGATAAACCCACTTATGTATAATGGGTCCTTCTCAAATTAAGAGCAGGTGATCTACCAAATAGAAAAATTGAAACAAAATTTGTTAGAGGAGATCTCACTCCTCCACATGCCACTTTAAAAATTCTCACAAGGATATATTTGCTATATGTTAAAACTCAAGAGCTTTGTATTACATTTTGAAACTCATATGATTATCAAGATATTTACACAAAACCTTGGTTTGGAATCGCAAGTAAGCCTCTCAACTAAGTAAGGAGGAGTAGGGCCAAAGGGTTGCCACAAGTACCCTAAGCAGGTTGATTCTAACTCCTTTTTCTTCAAATTGAGCACACTTTTGTACATGGATGTTCATCCAAGTTTGAGCTGGAGTGAAATACATGGTTTTTTGTATTCTCAAGATATCTATAGTTATTTTAGCTTTTCGAAGAGATGGGACTATTCCCATTTTACAAATATTCATTCTCACCCCATTAAACACTTTAACATAAAATCAATAAGTCCACCTGTTACACGCCCACCCATTAGGAACTAAATCCACCCCATTTTATGCCTACCCTATTAATAACTAAACACATTCAATTATCATATTAAATATTTTATTTCTACCCACTCATATAACCCAAATTTTAATTTTTCCTTTATTTTTAATAACAAATAAACTTTGAGGAAGTTTTTGCTTAGTAACAACATCAAATTATAATTGGACTTTTTTCAATCTCCTCTAGAATCTTATTGTATGATTATTGGCATTCCCATAGAACTGCAACTGTGTTTTGGCATATTTTGATTGGTTTCACTTGTCAAGCCATGCTACTGAACAGAACTTGAGTGTTCTCAGGCTAAATCAAAATTATTATCACTGTATATGCAAGATGGTGTTGCAGTAGATTATTCTGGAAGCAACCTTTTGTATAATGAAAAAAACTTTTCATGGTAATAGGATTCAAAACCTTATATGCATATCCTTTCAATTTGTATCTGGTTACGAAGGTCATTTGGAGACAATAATGTATGTGTACTAAAACTCAATCTTACTGAAACGAAGAGGAGAAAACAAAATTTTGGGGTGTATCATAGAGTGACAACTATTTGTTTAACAAGTTAATGGTATGGAAGTAGATTGGGTAGGTTTAGCCATTAATTTTGTGTGTTTAGTAATTGATGGGTGGATATAGAATGGAGTGACCTCAATAATTTTGTATTAAAGAATTGAATGGGATGGGGGCAGATATATCTTGGTGGAAATATAATAGGCCCACCCTTCGTAAAAACATATCATGACCTATAGAAGTTACATCTACGTATGTACAGGCGCAAAAAATACTATTCGATCAATACATGTGTAATGTTTTTGGTAATGTCAGCTAAATTTTATGAATCACATAATTGAGTGGTTCAATTATTGAGTCAATAAGTCCCCTGGATCAACGGACTTTCAAGACCAATGTCATAGATGCTTGATGCTTGAGCGAATACAAAACTATAGGAATGGTGAAACCATTGCTTTGGGAGGGGGAGGATGACACGGAGTAAAGTTTGAATTGCGTATAGAGAAATTCTAGTTGGCATGATCAAGTGTGATTTGAGATTATGAATTCTTGAGAATACTTGTCATTATAATATGGCAGAAACATTGGAAACTGAACCATCCTCATCCTCTCAATAAGATAAATTTGTGTTTGTGTGAGAGAGAGAGAGAGAGAGAGAGCGACTTCATGACATCACATTTCATTCTTTTCTGTTCTTTCGTTTAATTCCTACTACTTTAATTGAGTAAAGTGAGCACTTTAAAACACAAAAGCATCCACAAAAAGTAAGAAGCTAGGTAAGTAACAACACATAAGAATTTATTGAGCCTTATGCACTAACAAATTTGAATCAAAGATTTAAATACATGGTTGCAAATAAATCAACTAATGTATTACCTCTTTGATGTTATGTTACCTTCCCTCTAGCATAATGTATTACCTCTTTGATTTTAATTAAATTATTTATCGTTGCTTAACAAAAACATTTAATACCAAACCAAATTAACTGAAATTCGAGAACCACACATCAGTTTTCTATAAGAATGAATGAATAGTCAATGCAAAATAGAGAAATAAAAGTCTTAAAGCACAGACATCATATGATTGCATGTCAGGTACTCTGAGGAATTTATGATGCGTAGTTCACTTGAATTCCCTATCATTATCAATGGGTTTTGTAAAAACTATGCCTGTTGTATGTTTCCTTTTTCATTTTTTGTCTCACACTTTCCCTCCTGCAGGCGGTCAGCGTAACTTTTCTTTAACAAATAATCAGAATCTACACCACTCGTAATGTGCCCAAAATAATATGAAAAAAAGAATTCTAATTTTTGAGTTAAAAGGTCTAGAGATTTTGATTCAATCTGGACTTATATCTACAAGTTTGACCAACCTAATGTTCATTTTTAGCATCTCTCATTCTGATGTTGCTTATTAGAATTTACAGCTTTGTCGTATTTTTGTTCATTTAATGTAAAAGTTCTTAAGTATAACTTCTTTGTTTTACCTCTGATCGCAGAAATTACATCTTCGGTAAACATAAATTAAAGGTCAAGAAAAACCCTACTTGACCAAATCCAAGATTTACCCATTAGGGTCCTATCCCCCTAGCACTTCCTAAAGTTTTGTGGCTACCTGCCTGTGATCAACTTTTTGATTTTTGTTTGAGCTTTTTCTTTACTGTTAGTCTTAGTCGACTAGTTTTACTTTATTTTATCATATTTTGGTGGTGTAGCTTTTTTTTTTTTCTATATCTTGTTTTGGGTCAAGGGAACAAGCAGGAAAAGGCATGGCCTTGAATAACTATATACAAATTATTAAAGAAATCTAAATTAAAGTGGAGAATGTTAATAACTAAATATACACATATCATGTAAACAACATAAACAAATGGCGTATATACTGAGGGTAAAATAGCTTGTATAAATGGACTGTAATATTAAGTTTATATCTCATAAATTAAGAGTAAGAAAAAATTAAATTTAAAACCTATCTTTAATATAAGAATCTATAACACTTGCTTTGAAATGCTTTATTTCCTCCATAGCAATAGGACGAGGTTGTAACTCCAAAAGAATTCTCTTATGAGGTGCTCTTAACAAAAATGCCTAGAACCCTCCTTGACTCGCCTAATTGTGCATATTTTTCTTCACCCATTACAATTGACACTTAATTTTGGATTCCGTAGTCATGAATTCAATGGCAATCTTTCAAGAAACTCTAGCTCTCAACTACATAAATATCAGTAAAGTAAATGATGCAACTTGCAGAATTATTATTTTTTTTTAAAAAAGAATAAAACCCGAATTCAAAACCTCAAAATAATCATGAGAGAAAAAGAGAGTTCTTTTTGCTATATTTCTTTTCTTCCATTATAGTGCTAAGTTATTATGATTAAAGTAAATGACATTTACTAAAACAAATATATGGAAGACAGAATTCAAGAATTCAAAATTTTGAGAGAAGTTAAAGACATAGAAAAGTACTATATAAGTAGACATCATTGGGGGCAGGGGGGTTCTATTGATTAATGCTCAATTGTTGGTGCTTATTTCTAAACTTTACCTTGGTGAAAAAGAATTGGGGGCGAGCAGAGGATCTGTAGTTTAACCAAATCTGTAGCATCTACCTTGTATTATATCATCACAATAGCTCGGTATTATTCAAACTTCACCATCTGACAAGAACAAATAATAAAACAAGACTAATAGAAGAGTGTATAAAGAAAAGAATGGATTAAAAAGGCCATTGCTTACTTTGGGCATGAACTGCTTAATATGGTTTTCTACTGCTTTCTCAGTTTACGGTGTCTCACACTCAAAAGAAACTAAAATCTTTCTCTCCTCATGCTTCTGGTAAAGCATTCCCACAACATCATTCTCCACTGTTCGCAAATGGAATGTATGAGCACAAGAAAAACAGATACAAAAAATTCCAAATCTTACGTGTATGTGACTTTAAGCCAGAATAGATAATTCATACTGACATGTACACTGAGATAAAAACACGCAAAATAAAATTCTTAATTAGTA